CCCTCTCCCTCCCTCCCTCTCCCTCCCTCTCTTTCTGCCCATTCACACACAGGTTTTTCTATCTTGCTCTCCCAGGGATCGAGAGGAGGAGGAACCGGCCCGAACAGAATGGGACAAATGAACACGGCTGCCTTAGGACACCCGTTCCATCTCAGGCACCCCACCAGGGCTGACACACCGTGGACATTCTTATTCAGCTGGGTCTCCACCGGCGCTCCTCTCCTGCCCTTGGTCTGCCAGTCCTCTTCCCCCACTCAATGTGTGTGTGTGTGTGTGTGTGTGTGAGAGAGAGAGAGAGAGAGAGAGAGAGACAGACAGACAGACAGACAGACAGACAGACAGACAGACAGACAGACAGACAGACAGACAGACAGAGACAGAGAGAGAAACGGAGAGAGGGGGGGCATTTGTGCTTCCCTTCTCTCCCTCTCCCTCTCCCTCCCCCTCCCTCCCTCCCTCCCTGTCTCTCTGTCTCTCTCTGTCTCTCTGTCTCTCTCTCTCTCTCTCTCTCTCCCTCTCTCCAACCATGATCAGCAGGCCAGCCACCCAGCAGGCCAGCCACCATCGCTGATGTTCTCCTCACCTGGCCAGACGGCCTCACGCTCTTCTCCTCCTCCTCCTCCTCTTCCTCTGCACTCAATCGGCTACTAGCGGCTTGGGTGGCTCTGCTCCGTTCGAGTTGAAGAAAGTGGAGGCACAGCAGAAAGCAGAAACTTGGTGGGATGAAATCCACAAATGGAATATGCAGCTAGAGGGATTTAAATTATTTTTTAAAAAATAGATCTAATAAAAGAGGAGATAAAGTTGCACTATATATAAAAAATAGCTACATCTCTAGAGAAATAGAGCACAACAATGATGAAATCAAGAAGAGACTGGACTGCCATCTGTCAGAAATGGTGTAGGGACTCCTGCTTGGGCAAGGGGTGTGGCGTTTCTCGCAGCCAACGGGCTCACCACGAGAGAGTCCGGGCAGCCCCGCGCCGGACAGAGTGAGAACGAAGACACAGAGTCAAATTCTCCTCGGAGTGAGCGAGCCCAGGGTATGTTCTGAGTGACTCTTTTATTTGGCAGCATATATGAGGAAGTACATGCCTGTTCATACATGATTGGTTACATTGGTTACATGTATAGGAAAATAGATAGGTGCTATTATGCAATTGGTTACATTTTATTGCATAGCCCTTCTCGCTATATTATTGGCTATATTTTTGCCGCAATATGACATATAGCTTACTTCCTTTTGCTATAGCTTTCTATGGTTCCTTTGTTCACCTATTTGCATATGTTGCAGCTTTTTGCTAAACAGCTTTCTACATTTTGACGCATAGCCTAACATCGTGGTTTTCTTTGCCCTACTTGTTGCATAGCCGTTGCTTCTGTCAGAGGATGTGGTTGTCAGAGGATGTGGTTGCCCTACTTATTGCAGGTGGCTGCCCTACTTTTTGTCCTAGGCCTCTAGTACGCAAGCTGGCCACTGGCCTAGTCTTACTATAGAAGCCTGAACCATAAAAATCCCAACATCTCCTCTCTTTTTGTTTTTTAAAGGTAGGTTTCCTGCCCTGTGGGTTGGTGGTCTTCCGACTCCCTCCCTTCCAGGGTGAGCATTGACCTACGTAATTGTATAGAATTAATGAATTCTGACTTATCGTCAGAGTCTGGTGTGTGGAGGGATGCTTTCTCCTTATCTTCTTCAGATGGTACTGGTTGGTATCATATTTTCCAAGTTACCTATTTTAGTTTGCACAAAGCTCTTTAAGTGAGATAAAATACAGGGGTCAATTGTACATGCCAAGAGTAACAATATCAGTGGTCCTGCTATGGCACTTATCAGGGTGGACAACCATGGAGAAAAGTTGAACCAGGATTGGAACCATCCTTGTTGATCCTCCCTTTCCTTTTTCCTTTTATTCAGGCCCTCCCTGAGTTTGGTCATGGAGTCCTGCACTATGCCAGAGTGGTCTGCATAAAGGCAACATTCTTCTCTTAAGGCCACACATAACCCCCCTTCTTTTAGAAAAAGCAAATCAAGTCCTCTTCTGTTCTGCAAGACTACTTCTGAGAGGGAGGTTAGAGATTTTTGTAAGTGCGAGATAGAAGTTTCTATTCTCTCTAAGTCTTCATCGATGGCTGCCCTAAGGTTGTGGTATTGAGTATACTGATGTGCGAAAGAAGCTATTCCAGTTCCTGCTCCAGTTAGGCCAAGTCCTACCAAAAGAGCCACTGTGAGAGTGGAGATAGGCTCTCGCTTGTGTCTTACGAGGTGTGATCCTGAATAGGTGTTATAAACTTCTTCTTCTGTGTGGATGTATATGCGTGGTATGACCTGGACAAGGATGCAAAAACCTTTGGTGCCTATCACATGGCCATGGGTGCAGGCTGTAAGGCCTGTGGAGCAGGCCCACCATCCGTCTCTAGGTGGTATGTAAAAGAGTGTTGTGTTAATCGTGTTATGTGTTGTATTGCAGTATTGTTCGTACTGCGTGGGTACCTGCCCAATGCAGGTTCCCTTACCTGACATTGACTGCAGTGTTTGTGAGCCATGTTTCCATATGCATGCCTTGTCATCCGAGGAGGTGTTGTATGGAGAGACAAACCCTACAGCCTCATAATATGGGGGTTGAACATTATAACAAAACCAGCAGGCTGTAGTAAGGTTAGGATGGGTGCTATTTACCAAGTGATAGGTGGCAGTGACAATGTCCCAAAGAGGGTTCCCAGGGCGCCTCTGTGAAGGAGAGTAAGAATGATCAATAGGAGTAGGCGGATTTTTCTCAAAATTACCGGTGGGTTGAGGGGGTGGCACCTTACGGTCAGTTAGTATATTGTTTGGGCCTATCGGTACCGGGGGTTCTATGGGGGTTTGTATTAGTTTTATGGTAAAAATGTTCCCTAGCTTGTTGGTTTTATCATAAACACGACCTCCCCAAGTGATTCCTACCTGCCACCCCCCGTGCCTTTTTCCCTGGGTGGTGAAGGAAATCTTAACCAGATTACATTTAAAGTGTACTCCTCTTAGATCTTTCTCACATTTGACATTCTCACCAGTCCGTTTGAGCGTAATAAAATCACCTTTGAGGGGGGGTCCCATGTTATTTCCCCCGTGGAGACACAGTCCCAGTCTGCACAAAAATAGGCGCTTTCTCCCCCACACTTATTCCGGTATGCTGTGTCTTTCATATAGCCAGGGCAAACATAGAGAGACCATCTCTTGATCCATTGGTGGCTAGTGATGGTGGTGGCCCCCATCATTATGCCAAAGTCAAAGTACAGGTCAGGAAACCAGGATCCCGGCACCGCTATGGACGAAGTGGAGTTCAAGATGTCTGCGTGTGTGTCCAATTCTACCCACGTTAAGTTTTGGGGCTGGTGAGGATTGTGGAGGGCGAGAAAGGCATCAAGATGCTGTCTCTTCGCCAGTAGACAAAGTGTTGTTAGGAATACTGTCTTGTGGATCAGGCTTGGGATGATATGGGCGAACATGGTGACCCGGAACAGGTTGCAGACTCAGGAGACAGGGAGTCTGCCGGCGGAGATGGGTGGGGTGCTGGTGCAAAGTAGGGCCGGATGCAGCAACCTGGGACCCACAAGACTTTTTCAGGCAGTTGAACTGCAGCGTAGCCTCTTCCCCAAGTGATGAGATCAACAGGCCCTTTCCAGGTAGGATCAGGGAGTTGACGGTACCAAACCTGTGGGCGGGGAAGAGAAAGGGAGGGAGAAGAAAAATGCCTCTCTGCAGCAGAGGTAGGTGGGGTGCCAGTTAAGTTTAAGAAATTCAATGTATAGAGACAAAGATTAAGGATGTTTTGCACTGCTGGGAGGCTTGGGGGTGCTTTTCCCCTGGTTTCAGAATAACGGTCAAGCGCATTTTTTAGCGTTTGGTTTGCCCTTTCCACCATGGCTTGACCTTGGCTGTTGTATGGAATTCCGAATTTATGGCTAATTCCCCATTTGGTGCAAAAGGTAGCAAAAGCAGCACTGGTATATGCAGCATCATTATCTGTTTTTAGTTCATTTGGGCGTCCCAGCGATGCAAAGGTGCGAATACAGTGATTGATGACATGTTTTGTGGTTTCACCTCTTTGAGGCATTGCCATGATGAACCCAGAAAAAGTATCAATAGATACATGCATATATTTCCATGGGGAAAAGGAAGGATATTGGGTAACATCCATTTGCCAAATTTGACAACATTCTGTTCCTCTGGGATTAACTCCCATAGGAATGGAGTGTGCCTGTTTACTGCAGGTGGGGCATTGCTGTAAGATAGCAGTTGCCTCCCCTGCAGTTATACCAAATTGTTTAATGAGTGCCTTTTTATTCTGGTGAAAGTACGAATGGCTTTCCAAAGGGGTTGGAGTAGAGAGAGCAAGTGCTTGAGCAGTTGCAGTTGCAGCCGCAGCTGCGGAATCGGCCACGTCATTGCCTTCCTGAAGTATTCCAGGAAGAGGCTGGTGGCTTCGAATGTGTGAAACATGAAAAGGAAAATGTCGAGCAGAAATAAGTGTCTGCAGTTTGAGAAACAAAGATAGCAATTCTGCATCGAGGGAGGGAGCCAAATATGACTCATAGAGAGAGCTAACAATTTAAGTGACATACAGACTGTCCAGGATGAGGTTAAAAGGTTCATCAGAAAAGTGTTGAAAAGCCAATATAGAAGCAAAAAGTTCTGCTCTTTGGGCAGATTTTTGAGGAGGGGTAATTTTGATGTGCCACTGACCGCCCTGTTGCCAAACGCAGGCACCATAACATTTGCTGCCATCGGCAAAGACAGTGAGGGCATCTGGTAGTGGTTGGGGAGAAAAGGGGGAATTCCAGGAAAAAGGAATGGTTCTTAGAAGTAGCAGCCGTGGGTCTGGTGGCGGATAGCAGGAGACTTCTCCTGGCCATTCAGCGAGTGCAAATTGCAATTCGTCAGAAACAGACAACAGAGATTCCCAAATAAACAAAGAAAAAGGAACATACAAAGTGGATGGTTCTATTCCAGCGAGGAGTTTACTTCTTAATCTAATCTTTATAATAAGCTGCGCTAACTGTGTAGGCTTAGGGGTTAAAGAAGTACGAGAAGTGTGAGAGAGATGAAACCATTCTAAGACCAGAAGTTTCTTTTCCTTTTGAACTAGTGCCCCAGTAGGGAGCACTGCAGTGTTGATAATGAGCATGCCAAATGGGATGTTGGGTGCAAGTCTGTCTACCCATATGTGTTTTAGGGTTTGATTGACTTGATGTATGGCATGTGTTTGTTGATCTGTCAGTTGTATGCGGTCTGATGGGTGAGAGCCTTGTGTGAGGGCTGTGAAGAGTGGAGATAATTGGGCAGTGGTTAAACCTGTGTAAGAGCGAACCCAATTCAGGGTCCCTAAGTATTGCTGTAGCTGAACTAAAGTGGGGTTATTTGAAAGGTGGAGGGTTGGCACATTCGGGGCTGCTGCTGACCTAAGCACTGTATGTCCTAAATAAAAAAAAGGAGGGTGGGATTGGATTTTTTCTGGGGCTACGGTAAGTCCACCCTTCTGAAGGATGTCTAAAAGTTTTGGCAGTTGCTGTTTGACTGTGCCTGGGGGTCCGGGCGCAGCGACAAGAATGTCATCCATATAATGGTACACAAGAAAAGAGGGAAACACAGAACGAAAAGGTTGGAGAATTTTGTCTACATAATATTGACACATGGTGGGGCTATTGAGCATGCCTTGAGGGAGCACCTTCCATTGGTATCTAACTGTGGGCTTGGCATTATTAAAAACTGGGACTGTGAAAGCAAATAATTGCTTATCTTTAGGGTGCAAAAGAATTGAAAAAAAGCAATCCTTTAAGTCAATTATCATAAGATCATAATCTTTAGGAATCAAATTTGGATTGGGGAGGCCACATTGTAGGGCCCCCATGGGTCGAATAATAATATTGATTTTTCTGAGATCCTGTAGGAATCTCCAATTTCCCGATTTCTTTTTAATTACAAAAACAGGGGTATTATAAGGACTCAAGGAAGGCTCAATGTGTCCCTTCTGAAGCTGTTCTTGTACAAGCAAACAAAGCGCAGCAAGTTTTTCCTGAGTTAGCGGCCATTGATCCACCCACACCGGGGTTTCAGATTTTAGAGAAAGAGGCAGCAGAGCAGGGGCAGAAAAAGCCATTGTCGGTCAAGAGTTAGTCTAGCGTGGAACTGTTGCATAAGATCTCACCCCCACAAATTTATGTGCAAAGGGAGAATGACAGGTTTAACAAAGGCAATTGTGGGCGAATCCAGGGATTTCACTGGAAGCCAATTTCTGCTGACCTGAGCGTGCTGAACACCTCCGACGCCACGGACTGACGGAGAGGAGTCAGTGGGCCAGACGGGGGGCAATTCTTCAGAGCGGATTACCGATACGTCCGCACCGGTATCTAAAAGACCAGAAAAGGATTGGCCTTGTATTACGAAAATGACAACCGGGCAAGTTCTTAGTGGTTTCTGTATTGTTAAAACATTGGGCAAAAAGGGAGTAGCAACAGCGGGGGGACAGGGGAGAGGAATCATAGTAGCAACAATATCCCCTTCATTAATGTAAACCTCTACAGTAACCATGAAAGCCAAAGCAAAAGAGGAAAGGTCCTCAGAATCTCGAAGAAAAGGTGAAGCAAGAACACCTTGTTGAACCAAATTACGATGGGGAAAAATTATAGCAGGGGTGATTTCTGGTTCAGGGACAGCAATAGCAGGTTTGAGAGGAACAAAATAAGTGGTTGCGGGGAGGGGAGCAATGACCAATTCAGCCGCTCTGAGTTCAATGATGTCTGGAGGTAACTCTGAGTATTCCTCCTCAGCCTTGGGCGCGGGGCTAGCTGAAAACCCCTTATCTAGTTTCCCGAAGTCGGGGGGAAACTGCGGCAATTGCTAGCCCAGTGAAACCCTTTCCTGCACCTTGGACAGACCGTTTTTGGTTTAACAATTTGATTTCGGGCGCCTGAAGCGGCGCCGCCGGGAGCCCGACATTGTGATTTGAAATGTCCGGGCTTGCCACAATTGAAGCAATTGCCTGAAGGGCGTTGGCCCGATGTTTGTAAAGCAGCGGCCAACGCCTCCATTTGGAAGACAGTGGAGCCCACTTTGCGGCATGCTTTAAGGTAATCAGCAAGATTCATCACCGGGTTGGAAAGGAGGGGGCGAAGGATCTCCTGACAATCCGTATTCGCATTTTCATATGCGAGACGTTTGACCAACTCGGTCCTAGCCTCCTCATTGTCAACCTGTCGAATAACCGCTTGGGTCAGTTTGTCTATGAAATCAGAATACGGCTCATTGGGCTTCTGACGGATAGAAGCAAAGGAGGAAACGGATGACTTAGGGTCATCCACTTTGAGAAAGGCAGATAAAATTATAGGGTTAAGCAAAGGGAATAGGGCAGGGGGGGAGGCAACTTGCAATGGGATGGTATTAACAGCACCTTCCCCTAGGAGATGATCAGCGGTAATGGCAGCCGGGGGTCCCGGGAGGTTCCCGTGGGCCACCGCCGCTCGTACCCCTTGCCGCCAAACGGACTCAAAGATTAGGAATTGCGAAGAGGAAAGAAGCATAGCAGCAATATTTTTCCAATCTTCCGGGATCAGTTCATAACTATTGGCCATGGAAGTAAGCAAACCCCTGGTATAAGGGCTCTGAATCCCATACTCAGCCACCGCCTTTTTGAGATCTTTAACCATTTTAAAATCAAGGGGTTGATGACCCCGAATTTTTTGATTGGGATTTTGCGGGTCATCTATAAGGCCAACGGGAAACATCTGCAAATCCTCTAAGGAAAGGTCTCCCGTTGCCATCGCTCTCTTCAGTCCAGCTGTAAGAGCGGACTGAGGCGAGGTGTCCGCGTCTGCAGTTGGTGGAGGCAGAGGGGGGGCAGATGGCGGAGGTGTTTCACTTGAAGAGGCAATGTTGGAGTATTTTACCTGAGAACATTTTTGCTGTGTAAAGGCGTCCTCATATGGGGGTGGAGACGCAGCGTTGAGCACCATGGCATCGCTCGAATCTTTAATAGCTTTTTCATAAATTTCCAAACTATCAACAATTATTTGACAAGTAATAATCAAATCATAGGCGGCTTTAGGGGGTTCATTTAAATATTTCAATATACGTTTCCATTTTTTAGACGTGATGTCCCCTGAAGGGGGATAAGTGGGATATTTTCGCCAAATGAATTTCAACAATTTGATTAAATCATTCCCTGAAATTGAGAGTAAAGGTTTGCCATGGTTTATACAAATAATTTTGGCAGCCTTGACAAGGTCTCCAAGTTCTTGGAGGTGCGTAACCTGAGCCTTGGACAACCCTTTCCCCATACCCACAAAAGTCTTGCGACTGCGGCATGCCTCACTGGCAAGAGTACGGGGGCGTCGAGGCGAACAACCAGGACCGGGGATCACGTCGGGGTCACCAGTTGTGGCGTTTCTCGCAGCCAACGGGCTCACCACGAGAGGGTCCGGGCAGCCCCGCGCCGGACAGAGTGAGAACGAAGACACAGAGTCAAATTCTCCTCGGAGTGAGCGAGCCCAGGGTGTGTTCTGAGCGACTCTTTTATTTGGCAGCATATATGAGGAAGTACATGCCTGTTCATACATGATTGGTTACATTGGTTACATGTATAGGAAAATAGGTGCTATTATGCAATTGGTTACATTTTATTGCATAGCCCTTCTCGCTATATTATTGGCTATATTTTTGCCACAATATGACATATAGCTTACTTCCTTTTGCTATAGCTTTCTATGGTTCCTTTGTTCACCTATTTGCATATGTTGCAGCATTTTGCTAAACAGCTTTCTACATTTTGACACATAGCCTAACATGGTGGTTTTCTTTGCCCTACTTGTTGCATAGCCGTTGCTTCTGTCAGAGGATGTGGTTGTCAGAGGATGTGGTTGCCCTACTTATTGCAGGTGGCTGCCCTACTTTTTGTCCTAGGCCTCTAGTACGCAAGCTGGCCACTGGCCTAGTCTTACTATAGAAGCCTGAACCATAAAAATCCCAACAAAGGGGTTGGACTAGATGACCTACAAGGTCCCTTCCAACTCTGTTATTCTTCTATTCTATTCTATTCTATTCTATTCTATTCTATTCTTCTTATCATTATTCTAATTCTATTCTATTCTATACTATAGGCCATCCAACCAAATAGAGGAAATAGATGAATTTTTTGCTAGTCAGTTAACTAAAGTATGTAGGAAGCACATCACAATAGTAATGGGGGACGTTAATTACCCTGACATCAACTGGGAGACAAATGGAAAATCAAACAGGTTCCTGACTAACCTAGCAGACACTTTTGTCTCCCCAAAAGTAGAGAAGGGAACCAATGGATCAGCCATACTGGACTTATGAAATGATAGACGGGGTTGAAGCCACAGGAATCTTTGTGGGGGGGTGGTGATCATGCAGTGTTGGAATTCAACATTATGCAAGCACACGCAATAGAACACAGTCAGACTAGAGTCTTGGACTTTTAAGAGAGCTGATTTCAATAAACTTAGAGAGAGCTTGGGAAGGATTCCATGGATGAGAATTCTCAAGGTAAAAACAACCCAAGAAGCTTGGGAAACTTTGAAGAGTGAGATTCTAAAAGCCCAGTCTAGCACAATAACAACAAAGAAGAAAAATAACAGCTCTCAAAAGAAACCAGCCTGGTTGCACAAAGAAGTGTCTGATAATCAAGCAATGAATCTGCAAACAGCTAGAGGCAAACAAAGTCATAATCCAAAGTCAACATGGGTTTGTCGAAACCAGATCATGCCAGACAAAACTTATTGCTAGAAGACCTCTGAG